TAACTTGCCAAAGTGGGACCTGCCAAACTTTACTAGCTGTGAACTATTAATACACTAGCAAATCACCTGAAGCTTTTTTAGTATGGGAGGGCTGCTTGTTATACAGAAGGATACACTTATAATCTCTCCATCAGGATGGGATCTACATCATGTATCTGAATAAAGAATTTTAGCTTTTAATCCTCATGCTTTGTGAGTGTGTGGTGGGGGGAGCTGCCTGTTTGCAAGCTGACAGTACCATCAGATTTCTGCGAGGCTATTAAAATGCATGTCCTATACCATGGACAGGAAAAACTGTGGTAGTTTTTGTACTGGGGCAGGCTACTAATAAAGAGCCTTACAGCAGGAGCTCAATGGGATTACATGAATTTTACCACCCATGCTCTGTGGTCACAGTTAACATACAGAGTGTTCTGGGAGCATAGCCACTGATATGTCATGCAGCCTTATTATTGTCAGCTTGTTTGGCACCTCCCACCTTCAGTGTGGGGTTTTTTTCTGCTGCAGTATAATACTTGTTTGGTGGGTGCCTGGAGGGTGAGGAAAAGTTGGTGGTAGTGGTGGGTTCATCTGCAGGGCAACATGGACCTTTTGTGTTATTAATGGTACCATTATGGATTGAGCTTTCGTCAGTGAAATAATGAACTTGCTGGACCAGATTCTTCTCTGTTACCCAACTGTCAGCCCAAGGTGTCACTGAGGATAATGATGCTAATTTGGAGTAAATGGGAACAGGATTTGGACCAGTATGTCTCATTTCCTTTTGAATCTTCTTTTCCCTTTTTCATTGAGGGCAGGGGATAATCTAATAATAATTATGATTATCTAATAATTTTGTTCTAGTATCTTTCAAGATGTCAAAGTTAGGTTGACTGGTCTATAATTTCCTGGTTTTTCATTACACCCGTCCTTAAAGATCGACACTATGTTTGCTCTCTCCCAGTCTTCTGGGATTTCATGCATTCTCTAGGGGTACGTCTACACTAGCCCCCAAATTGATCTAGGGAGGCTAATGAGGGCGACCGGAATTGCAAATCAAGCCTGGGATTTAAATATACCATGCTTGATTTGCATGTTCCCAGCTGGTCGCCATTTAGAAATTGACTAGCCCGAAGTAACTGCCTGCGCCTACACATGGCAGTGAAACGGGATTCCGGAATAAAGTCCCTAAATCGAATTAGGTGGTAAACCTCATTCCATGAGGAATACCACCTAATTCAATTTAGGGCTTTATTCCGGAATCCCGTTTCACTGCCGCATGTAGACGCGGGCAGTTACTTCGGGCTAGTCAATTTCTAAAATGGCGACCAGCCGGGAACATGCAAATCAAGTTTGCAGTCGTGCTTTTAATATTGTCTCCTTCAGAAACTGCTAGTTCTCTTGAACTTCTCTTTTCCTTAGATTTTCTTCCCATAGAATCTTACATACAAGTTCTGAATCTGCTATTTTGAAGTTCGTTATCCTTATTCTGATGTTCTTAGTCCTTCCTTTTTCATGATCACTTTCCTTCAAATTGCCTTCTACCTTGAGATTTGCTACCAGTTCCTCCCTGTTAGTCAGAATCAAATCTAAAATGGCTACTTGCCAGCCCTCCCAATGCACAGTGCTGACTGGTATTGTCCCCATTTCAAGCTGTGATTCCTGAACCAGTCTGGCTGCCTTGGTGCTGAGTCTGCCTCGTACTCTATCTGCCCTTTCAGACACTTCTGTTAGAATTTAGCATCTGAGGTTCTGATTTGTTAGAGGTGCTTAGCACCTGTACTCCCACAGTCTTTGATAGGAGTTGTGGGTGCCGATTGCCTCGGACAAATCAGCCCCTTACTGTGCAATTTAGGCTACACTTCACAATATAACAAGCCATCGTCAAATTGAAGACTCCAGCAAAGGGCCACGGGTTTCCCATCTCTGCAGTTTTATTGTGGTGGAGTCCAAATGCAATAGATTTACAAGTGGAAATTTCTCTAGGTCTACAGTCCCCTGCCAGCCCAGATCCCAGAACTGCCGTGTTGTGAATATAGGCCTAATCCACTAATGGTGTTGGGAGTGAGGTCTGGTGGGAAATTTATGTGCTGGTCTGTTAGGCCAGTCAGTTGTAGCTGATCTCTCTAATGTGTGTCTAATCATGGTGCAGTGCAAGCTTACTCAGTGTGTGAGCCCACAGCTTTGGTTCCAGTATTGGTCAGGCTGTGATAGATGCTGGAATTTCTTTACTCTAGAAAAAAACAACTAAACCTAACACGACAATTCCAACAGTGGATTTATCCAATTAATCATTTTGAAGCTGCTTTATTTATAATGAATCTAATACCTTTGATCATCTGTATTTTCCGAGTGCCTGTCTGTGTCCATGAAGTGTAATAATTTTTAAAGAACCACTACTGAAGAGAAAACAAGATCAAAATAGCAAGGATCCCACAATGATTTTTTTTAAAGTTAACTGTTCCAGCACTAAATTGAAGGGTCTAAGGTGGATCTCCTTAAAAAAAACCAAGCCACATCAAACACATGCAATCCATCTTTCTCCAGTCGAGAAACCTAAAAGATTTATGGAGCAACCACAAGTTTTTGGTGAAGATCTCTTAATCGCCTGGTTTATTACAAGGTCTAAAGCTGACACGGTGTAACTGAGATTCCGTTTTATGAAGTGCGTAATTACTACAGGCAAAGGTATTTAAAAGCTAAGAGCTCCTGCTATATCTCCAAGATCTTTAGGGGCAAAGTTATCTATAATATAAATCTATAATGGTTAAGGAGACTAACACAGCTCAAGAAAGCCGAAGGCATGTAGAAATGGGTGTGTGATCTGAATGAGCTTAAGATGCTTGTCATTTATAAATGTAACACATGAGGTCCAGCATATATTTTCATTGTATTGTGAAATAAGAAGTGGGGATAAATATCCTATCACCCCTTAGCTTCTCAACTTGTGGTAGCTTGCTGGTCGAGCACTAGAAATTAATATAATTCATCGCAGTATCTTTCTTAATCACAATCAACCTCCCGTTTCCTTTTTGTATGTTTTTGGAGAGATCTTAAAGGACAACTGTGTGGTAGTGAATTGTTGGTAATGATGATAGTATATTACAAATAAAGTACTGACAGCATATACATAAGGTGCCAAGCACAAGCAAGCAAGTGTACAGAACTGGTACATCTGAGCAACACTGTCTACTTTGGCAAGGCTTAAAACAGTTTCTAAGTATCATGAAAAGTTTTCATCTATAGTTATATAGAGCCAGATTCCCAATTGGTGTGCTCTTGTTGGATCTATGACAATTCATACTGAGGCTGAAGATCAATGGTGTTATGATAGTTTCCACCAGGGTGAAAATCCGCCCCATACTTGTATTATTGGTCTGACAAACACAAAGAGCTATATTTCTCCATTGATGTTTGCTAATAACTACAATGCTCATGCAGTGGTAACTGGGATCCTGTAGTTGGGTCATAGCTGTGTTTTAAATGATGTCTACTCTACATAACTACCTTGCTCACTTATAATTTTATATATCCTAAAAAAGTCATCATCTGTTGTTCATCAATCTTTTATAAAAGGACTTCAAATCAATAAATAAGATAAACATTCTGTAAACAAAAAATCCATACTACTCACCATTACAATGTTTTGAATTACAGTTCATGCTGTTACAATTATGGGGAAGTTTTTAAAAAAGCATTAAGAACAGTTAGGTACCCACTTCCCATTGACAAATCAACAGAATTGGCTGTCTATCTTCTATTTAGAATTTTAAACAAGGAGCAGTAGTTTAAATGTGGGGAATTTGTAGATTTAGCCAGCTGTCTTGATAGTGAAATTCAAACTATAGTATTTTTTCTGCCGTATTTTTTTCTATCATACAACATTTTTACAAACAGACTGTGACAAAACAAGCTATTCCAGTCAGGAAGGCAACATATTGGTTACTTTGAACTGTTTTGTTAGCACTCTAGGAGTATGTCTAGATTATATGGCTCCCTCGATGGAGCAATATAAACTAGTTTACCCGACATAGTCAATGAAGTGGGGATTTAAATAATCCCCGCTTCATTAAAATAAAAATGGCTGCCACGCTGTGCCGACAATCAGCTGATCTGGCACAGCGCGGCAGTCTAGACGCAGATTGGTCGACAAGGGAAGCCTTTGTCAACTGTTCTGTAAACCTCGTTCAACAAGGCATAAGGGAGCAGTCGACAAAGGCTTCCCTTGTCGACCAATCTGCGTCTAGACTGCCGCGCTGTGCCAGATCAGCTGATTGTCGGCACAGCGTGGCAGCCATTTTTATTTTAATGAAGCGGGGATTATTTAAATCCCCACTTCATTGACTATGTTGGGTAAACTAGTTTACATGGCTCTGTGGATGGAGCCATGTAGTCTAGACATACCCTAGAGGTCCAGTAGCATGAACAAGTCCATAATTAGTGTTCTGTAGATGCTAATATAGGGAGGTCGACAAAATTGTGGAGAAACCAACCCTCAGCATCACCTGGGTTCTCTGCTAACTAGCCCTTAGCCTGGAGCATGCTGCTTGGAGCGCCAACCATAATTTAAAGGGCTGATGGCTCCGGCTGTGCCCACCGTAGCAACAGCAGAGGGTGGGAGCCTGGGCCCTTTTGAATCACTGGGACCCAGGGTAGTGATCCTTAGTCTCTGTCTGTCGGCACCTGTACTAACATGTGTAATTAGGTATGTATTTGCTGTTTCTGTGATCTTGATTTGAGTGATCACAAAACATCCAAGATCAAAATCATTAATCCATGTCTTAGCTATTCTGTTTGCCTGGTGAAAGTCTTTCATCCCTCCAAAACTGCACACGTACAAGCTTGTCCATGAGGTGATGGACATGCAAACAGAGAGGCTGACAGAAGACCACTTTTAAAATGTGCTCCCTTGTTTGGAACCAGTTTTATGTCATCTCTATGGAGAAGCAAATCCTATATATATGTTTGAAGCTCTTGTGTATAAACCAATGCTTATGTTCTTGTCTCCTCTTCTTTCACAGTGGCGTTTGATGACTGCAAGGGGAACGACAAGCTGAGCTTTGCAGTTTCTAATCCAGACTTTAAGGTGGAACCCAATGGATCTTTAGTTGCACTGAAAAATATAACGGAAGCCGTCACAGCTTTGTTCATCCATGCCCGGTCTGCCCAGGCTGAAGACATGGCGAAAGAGAAACATGGCTATTTAAAGGTAAGGAAAGATCAAAGATGAGGTAAAAGATAAAGATGAGAGAATGTCAAGGAGGGTTGCCAATTCAATGTAACTAACATCTTAAACACTAGGCAGATTTACCGCATTAAAAGAGAGATGTCATCAGACATGAGAACAGCCATAGTGGGCCAGACCAAAGGTCCATCTAGCCCAGTATCCTGTTTTCTGACAGAGGATAGAGCAGAACAAGCAGTACAGGCAGTCCCTGGGTTACGTACAAGATAGGGACTGTCGGTTTGTTCTTAAGTTGAATTTGTATGTAAGTCGGAACTGGTACATATTGTAGGGGAAACTCTAGCCAAACATTTCTCCAGAGCTCAGTTTTATTCTCCCACACCTCACTTCCCTCAGTCCTTTATTCTCAAGCTGAGGTGTCTACTGAGAAAAGCTGCTCGACATCTCCCTGGTCTGCTGGGGGGAAGCAGCTAGTGCGGGGTTGCCTCACCCCGTTTGTAAGTAGGGATCTGATGTAAGTCGGATCCATGTAACCCGGGGACTGCCTGTATTTGAGAGGGAATTAATAAAAAAGGCAATCACTGAGTGATCCATTCCATGCCTTCCACTTCTAAACTCAGGAAAACAGACGCTAGGAACGTTCAGAGCCTGGTGTTGCATGACTGACCATTCTGGCTAATAGCTGTTAATTGAACCATAATCCAAGTTGCATTTTAATATTCTGAACTTTTGAAATCAGGGGTGTTGTCTGATACTGAGTCACTTCATATTTCCTAGGTGCCAATGTAATATAACAGGTGGTCTGAGGGCACTGCTGTGATGGTTAAATTAGGGCAAATGGCTTAGAACTAGAGCTCCTTATAGCCCAAGACTGGCCCTTCTCCTCTAAGGCACCAAACCCATCAACTCTTGCCAGCAAGAAGTCTCATAAGCAATCCCCTTATATACCCCAGCTTTACTTGTACCTTACACAGATGAGAGGTTACAAAAATCAGTCTCTCCAAATCTGAACAGGTTCTACTGATCCCAAAGGACCAGCCACAGTCTCAGGTCAATTTACACCTCAGAACTTATCCAAAAGAGTACGTTGTGCCAATGTATTAGAATCTAAAATCTAAAGGCTTATTAATTAAAAGAAAGAAAAGGTTGAGAGTAGAATTGTTAAAGAAAGCATATTACAGACATCAATCACAAAGTTCTTGATGCAGACTCTTAGCAGAGATGTAATGACCGCTATCTTAAAAGTCTCTGGTGTACATCCTATGTTAAGATGGGTCAACGGATCCTTCCAGGCTCTCAGTCCTTAGCAAAGGTGCTTCTGAAGAGGGAGGGCAGGAGGGAAGACCAAGATCGGGGCACTCCCAGAATACTTTTATAATCTTGCCCATCCAGAGGGAAATCCATTTTTGTCCTGAGTGAAGGTGCCTCCCAAAATGGAGCTGACTGCATGATCACCATGTCCTTTTTAGTCAAGGAGCTATGAGGTATCCAGGTTTGTCCTCCTTAGGCCAAGGGGGCCATTGTGTGCTCCTCAAGTGTCCATTGGCATCCTTTAAGAGCCATTGTCTACACAGCATTCACTGGGACACCATCCCTTCCAACAGGTGGGCGATGCCTGCCGCTGTCTCCCAGACAGAGAACATTTACAATATAAGTACAGAACCCGTATTCATAACTTTACATACAAAAATCATACAAGTATATGAGTAGAGTTGACAGAATCAGCATAGCATGAGCTTTCAATTAGAGGCATCCTGTAGCCCACCTTTCACAGAACCGGGGGCGAACACACAACAGTGGGTGCAACAATGATCTGCCTTTTCCTATTGTAATCCAGTAATGTGACAGCCCACAGAGAACTGATAACTCCAACCAAGTCCAGATACAGGTTGACACTTTCTGGTCTGGGACTCTCTGGTCCAGCAACATCCGTGGTCCAGCAGGACCACAGATGTGGCTATACCAGAGTCACTGGATCAGAGCACCAGTGACTGGTAACAGAGGTTGATGGCGGCCAGGGTTAAGCTACTCCAGTGGGCTGGCAGCCAAGTGGGGTAGCAGCAGGGGGCAGTAAGCTTGACCCAGCACCTTGAGAGCAAAGCCCGGACGGCAGCCCAGGGACAGGGAACCTGGCCTGAGAGTGGAGCATGGCCGACAGGCTGAGAGCAGAGCCCAGCCGGCAATCCAGCAGCAGCAAAGCCCGGTGGCTGGGGCTAGCAGCGAATCCAGTGGCCAGGAGGGGAGACTTGCTGGGAAGGCTGGCAGCCCTCCAGGACGGTCTTGAAGCTGATAGTAGAGGAATGAAAACTGATCTCCCCAGGTCCAGCAAACTGCCTTGTTCAGGGCTGGTCAGATGCTGAGGGTGCCAAACCAGCAAAGTCCAGCATGTCTTAACAAAAGAACCATAGAAAGGAAATAGTTCTACTGCAAGGACACAAGGCAGCTCCAAGGGAAATTCATAAGATACCACACTGTAGTAGCCTTACTGGTACAAGGCAATAGGATTAGACAGCCACAATAGGGCCCCTACTGATGGTCTAAGACTTTAGGGTCTATAAATCTTTAACATTCATTAGAGATTGAATGACCCAGGAATGAATTCCATCTTCTGGCTCTTTAGGATTCGTTTTTTTTTAACACTGGTCTCCTTCTTCTTATGTCCTAGTGTACATCAACGCCAATGCCAGTTATTACACCACATTTTGTAGTCTCTCCATTATGAGTGGATGATTTTTGTTCCCCTTTGTCCATGGCATAATACGTCCTGTCTTTGTCACATATAATTTCAATGTAATCATAAAATGATGGGGTAGAAGGTGGGGGAATTGATTGAAATGTTTACTTCATACACAACAAAATAACAAAAGAAAAACTGATGTAGCCTTCATTTCTGTGCCGTGGTGTTCAGTAAGTAGGCTGGCCTGACAGTGACTTTCAAGACAATTAATCCCCGTACCTTTACAGACCTATAATTTAAAAGAACTCAAAAAAGATTTAATGAGGAGGGTTATAAAAAGTGACTGATCCAGCGTCTTATTTCAGTATTTAGGCATTTGGCTGCAAGCACTTTTATTATATTTCCAGCAATTGCTGTAGTCATTTTACTTAAATCTTCCATTTTTAAAAAATGTGAGCTGTAGGGCTAACAAAGGCTGAACAAACTTTTAAAAGTCAATGGCTGAGGGAAAGGTTTTGATTTGCATTTTAAGCAGTGCTGAATGTGAATATCGATTGTCAGGGAAAACAAATAGCATCAGAGAGTATAATGGCATGAATAGAGGTGGTTGGAACATTTTTTATCGGAGTGAAATTTTGTCAGAGACTTTCAGTTTCAACTAAGGGTACGTCTACATGACACACAGGAACCTACGGCATTGGGTCTCAGAGGCCAAGTCTATAGATTTGAGCTTGTGCTGTGGGGCTAAAAATAGCTCTGTGAATATTTGGGCTAAGGCTCCAAGCATCGAAACAGCTATTTTTAGTGCTGTGATAGAATCCCTGCAAACCCAAGTATGTAGACGTTGGCTCTAGGGCCACCGGAGGAGGGCACAGGCAAGGCTGGATTAGCCATTAGGCTAATAAGAAGATAGCCGTAGGCCCTTCAATTGTTTAGGCCCTCCTGGTCAAACAGGGCTGGGGCCAGGAGAGAGAGGGGGAGTGACAGGGCTCCAGAAGGCAGAGGCACTGAGTGAGCTGCAGCTGGATGGAGCAATGTATTGGGAAAGGATGGGGCTCCTGCTGCTCAGCTCTCCTCCTATTTTACGGAAATTCGTTGATTTCATATTTTTTTTGCAGTATGCACTTCATACTTAGGCCCTTCCCTCCCATCAGCCTTAGGCCCCTATACCCATAACCATAATCTGGCCATGGGTGCCGGGCCTGGAGCACCCCCCCCCACTCCTCTCCACCCCTGCTCCACCCCTCCCTGAAGCCTCGTCCCTGTTCTGCCTACCCCACCTCTTTACCCCTGCCCCTAGCAACATGGCCTGAGGGATTATGGGAGCCTGGCACAGCGGTACCACTACGCAGGTAGTGGGAGCCAAAGGGACCGGGTAGCCTTTTCTGTCCCACCATGCCACCCTGCTGGTCTACTGTGCCCCGATCCTTCATGGGTAGATTACTGGGGCTGATGGCTGATTTAGTGGGTCCTTACTAGACTCACTAATCAAACCCAAGCTCGATCTCAGTGTAAGTGTAGAGAAGCCCTCACTTGTCAGGTTTGGTGAACACTTTCAAAACATTTTGTTCCAAGTGTCGAATGAAAACAAACGTGGAAAGCTGGAAGTTTGCCGTGAGCTGATATTGTGCCCTTCAGTCAGTTCTCATTGGCTGTGTCTAGACTGGCAAGTTTTTCCAGAAAATCATCTGCTTTTCCGGAAAAACTTGCCAGCTGTCTACACTGGCCACTTGAATTTCTGGAAAAGCACTGACGATCTCATGTAAAATCATCAGTGCTTTTCCAGAAAAACTATGCTGCTTCCGTTCGGGCAAAAGTCTTTTTCTGAAAGACTTTTGCCCAAAAGGGCCAGTGTAGACAGCATAGTACTGTTTTCCACAAAAAAGCCCCGACCGCGAAAATGGCAATCGGGGCTTTTTTTGTGGAAAACTACGTCTAGATTGGCCACGGACGCTTTTCCGCAAAAAGTGCCAATCTAGACGCGCTTTTACGAAAAGACTTTTAACGGAAAACTTTTCCGTTAAAAGCATTTTCGGAAATTCATGCCAGTGTAGACGTAGCCATTGTGAGAATAGATCCAAATACCCCGATCGCTGCTGACAGATTTGGAGCCAGTCTTCCAAGCCCAGGCCTCTGAGGAAGTCTTATTCTTTTTGAGCCGCATCCTGAAGTTCCCGCTCCTTTTTTATCCCATAACCCTGAGATCACCTCTAAACTACATTCCTCTTCCAAAAGAGGAATGCAAATGAGCCCGTTCGAAAATGCAAATGAAGCACGGATTTACAAATCTTGCACTTCATTTGCATAATTCCATGAGAGCGCTTTTTCGAAAAAGAAACTGCAGTCT